CTGACATGCATACCTGTCACTATAGCACTCACCTCGAACAATCTAAAATTCTGACATACATACCTGTCACAGCAGCACTATACCGCTCACCACAGGTGATCTGAGATACTCTGGAACCATTAAAAAGACTATGCGATATTCTCTTTGGCTTGTCTAAAAAGTGGGCATTTTTACCATGTCCAAGTTGACCATCTGCCCCACTTCCCCAGGTATAAACTGTTCCATTCACTGCAAGATACAATACAAAAAAAAAGATAATTTTTATTTTAAAATATTAACTATCAATGCTTTTCGTTTAGCCTTCATGAACACAGCACACTGCCACAATATATATTTGCTTAGCACTGAGGCCAGAAATTATAAAAATTATATTAAAACTTCAACGACCCACACACGCATGACTGGATAAACCTAATATATATAAAAAATATTCAGAAATATGAACCTATACAAATGTCATATGACAACATTGATATATAATTCAGTCATCATTTTAATGCAACTTTTTTTATCACCTTGTTCAACTAGTATATGTTCATATATAAGTAACACGCCACTCCCTTCATATTTTGATATATTGAATATTATGCCCCCAACAATATTGACAATCCTGAAGTGACTGACTTTAAAACACAATGACTCATTGTTTCAATATTGCCTCTCCCCCAGCTGCGGGTATACAATGAACAATCAAACCACGAACAAACAAAAAAAAAACTTGAGCCTAGTAACAATAGAACTCTACACACCCAAATAAAAAATCTTACACAAGAGCTATCATCCATCAAAGCAGTGTAATGGGGAAGGTGACGGCCTATTGATTTCAGGGTCTTTGTTTCCACAGATAGAACGATCCGTTATTGCATGGAATGATATAATCAATTTGCATGGCCATATAGGCTCAGAGCAAGACGCAAATTAATTACCGAACATACATGCATCTCGTTCATCATAGCATGGCAATATTTTCAATACCTGCTTTGGCGGTTTGTAGCCGATGGCTATTATTGCTTGCATTAGATTGATATGGTGTCAATCTGTAAATGGTTTGCCAGTAGGAGGGGAGCCAGATAGCATCGATGGGAAGTCATGGAGGTCAAGTCATATCGGAGTTAGCGATCTTGAACCCTCGTTTATCATTGATGTGAAGAGGAGGGGGTATACGACAACATTTATTACGCAGGAAATGAAAGTTGAATATGAGGGGAAGAAGAAATATGATTATGGGATGGAGAGCTGTTTTGTTAGAAGGCCCAAAAGAAAATATTACAGTAAGATGTTTTAGGACAGTCATGAGAAAACACATGTATAGAACGACGGCGAAATGGGATTCATTCCTTTTCTCATGTGAGCGCATTGATCATAAGTCTTCCCCGTTGTGAGAAACAGAAATCAAGATCATTCCGGAATTACCAGCATCGCACAATGTCAGTTTACTTTGGAATTGTTTTCAAATTCAAGATGCTAAGACTTAATAATAGTAATGTGATTGTAAGAAGGGGGGTTGGGTGGCTGCAATTACAGCTTCGGAAAAAAGTTATAAGAGCTCATTCTGATCTATGAAAACTCAGAATAAAGTAATACACAGGGTTGCAAAATATGGTCCTCTCAGTAATGATAAAGTTGGTACATATGTAACTGAGGAGCAGACCAATGGAAATCCTGGGGATGGAGAGGGGTGAACCAATGGAAATCCTGGGGATGGAGAGGGGTGAACCAATCAAAATCCATGGGATGGAGAGGGGTGAACGAATCAAAATCCTGGGGATGGAGAGGGGTGAACTAATCAAGATCCTGGGGATGGAGAGGGGTGAACCAATCAAGATCCTGGGGATGGAGAGGGGTGAACCAATCAAGATCCTGGGGATGGAGAGGGGTGAACCAATCAAGATCCTGGGGATGGAGAGGGGTGAACCAATCAAAATCCTGGGGGATGGAGAGGGGTGAACCAATCAAAATCCTGAGGATGGAGAGGGGCGAACCAATCAAAATCCTGGGGATGGAGAGGGGTGACCAATCAAAA